AGGGTCACATTTTTGACATTTCTTCACAAGAACCATAATGGCAGGTAAGATCCTTTTCTTTCTATGTGTTGATGATATGATAATCACAAGTAGTGATGTACAGAGCATTATTCAGGTTTCGATTTTTTTTTTCTAATATGGGTATTTCTCATATCTCACCGACAACGTTGTGTGATAATAGAAGCGCTATTCAAATTGTGCATAATGATGTGTTTTATGAACGTACCAAACATATTGAGATTGATTGCGATTTCGTTCCAAATCTTGTAACACCATAGGTCCCACCCTTAATTCCCTTTATAGATCATGTTAACTATTAACTAACGGTTTGTTTAGTCTTGTTTACTTTTTTTTTTTTTCCCTTAAATATAACTCAGAATATATATATTATATAATATTTAATTTAATATTATTATTTATATACGTAACAAAATCTCACAAGGACTTCGTCATCCCCACACCACCCTGCGATGACTGTGGTGAAAACCCAAAAAGATGCCCCTAATATATGTATATGAAAAACAAAATAAACTATTTGAGGGTTTTGGAACCTAGTGAAATTAGACCGCTCATCCTCATGTCATTATTTATTAAATATACCAAAAATGATACAACCAAGGAGATATAAACCAAAACCTCGTATAACAAAATATAAAAATACATCACTTAAAACGATGTCTTTGTGTGTTTTTTTGAAGCAAAATATCAATCATTTTATCATAGTTAATATTAGCAAAACACTTACCCTCGATATTTAAAATTGCTAACTCATTCAGTTTTTCTTGACTGACGGTAGACCTAGATATGACTTCAACAACTTTAATTTCAAAAAGCTTATTTCTGCAGATGCTACGATGATGGATACAGTCAACAAAATCCTGTAAGCAAGACATGTGGAAACATGTCCATCTTCTTTGCAAACTCCATAATTTGTATGGATGTCTAACGATTTGCACTCTTGGATGCCTCTTTCGGTAACATTCACTGCAAAACTTGTAACTCCAAAAACAAAAAATCACCATTTGTTAAACCAAGTTCAAAATTCAAACATTTTTCCAACTAATCATCATGTAAAGTAGCTAACTTTCATCCATAAAACAAAAAGCCAAAAATAAATTCAAATTCTTGCATCTGTTTAAATCCCGTTCGTAATTGAGGAAAAGTCATATCAACTAAAAAAAGTAATCAACTCTAAATATCTCTTGAGTAGATTGTTCTCTTGATAATAGGAATTTCATCAAATTGTTTATTTACAGCATATGCAGGCTCAGCTCCAATATTATTTATTTCTTAGCTTCATTAATAGCACACTCATTTTCCCTATATTTTTCAGAATAGACGATTAATCCCTTGAGATTTTGCATTGTAACATCAAGAAGCATATCTTCATACTGTAATTTCTTACTAACTAAACTAATTTTATATAAAACTTCATGTCATATAACCAAATTTACAATAAATTCAAAACTTTGAAGCTCATCATTTACCACAAATTCACCATCCCTATACACTTTTCCATTCTACTTGAGCTAATGGCAATAAAGCATCATTAATTTGGCCAACTTGAGTTTTAATAGCTTTAACACTTTCAATATGACTTTCCCACCAAGTAATAGATAAATATTTTAAAGTCAAATCATCAATATATCCTAATAAAACAATCCATCCCTTTGTAGAGTTAGAGAACACAATGTATATTGTTTAACAAGTACCAGAAAAGGTTTTTGCTTTATGACAAGAATTTGCCATATCACATAGAACTAAATTAAAACTATGACAACCACATGACATGTAAAAGGCTCTAGATTTATATCAAGTAATCTTTTTTGCACACCTTGATGTTTCCTTTTCATATTAGACCCATTGTCATACTCTTGTCCTCACACATAATTAATATCAAAATTAAGTGATTTCTAAACATCTTGTAATACATTAAACAGTTCTAAAACAGATGTATCCTCTCCACGCAAAAACTAAAAAAAGAACTCTTCTACTTGTATAAGAGAACTTGACACATCAACACATCTTATAATTAAAGTCATTTTTTCTTTATGGCTTGCATCCAGAGTACAATCATGAATAACTGAAGAATATTTTGTCTATTTGATCCTTTTAGTGATTTCACTCTTTAGATTGGATGACTTCAATCAATTGATTTTGAATTTTGTGGCTAAGATAACTATAACGAGATTTTTTGTCTTTGATACGCCGAAAATGTTGTTTTATAATACGATCAAATTCAGTAATCATTTGAATTATGCCTAAGAAGTTGACATTAGATTATTCATAAAGTTTTTCATTGTTCCCGCAAAAATTATTCTAAGCAGAACTTCTTTCAGTATTTCGTGTTTTTTTTAATTAATTCTTATAACTCTTTATCAAATGTTTCATTCTTACTCAATCTCAGTCGCAACTCATACCAAATTCCTAAGTTAGCCATATGCTCGGGACTATTTTCATGAATGTTTAATCGTTAACCAAGATGTTTCCAATCATTTAATCTCCCACTTGCTAATTGACTTATGGATCGACCATCTTTGAAAAGCTTGCAACAAAAACGAAAGACTTGATCTCGCTTTTTTGAATAAACTAACCACTTTCTATCATAACAATCACCTTGGAGTAACTTATGAACATAAAATTCAATAGAAAAGTGTCTACCTTTTTATCCGTAAGGAAATTGATCTTAGTTTTCTAATAGGTCATCTTTCAACAAGCAAATCTTTCATTTTTGAATTTAACAAATCCCGAACTCTTGGATCAAATATATTCAAATTAATATTATCACAAGCATTTTCATCTGCGTCATCAATCTTTTCATCAAATATGTTCTCCTTACGATCACAAGCTTTTCAAAGTTTTCCTTATCATTTGGATTGTTAACAAACACACTGAGTTCCAGAATCATTTGGTTGTTTAACATAAACTTATTTAAAGATCCTTGCATAGATTGAGCAATTTCTTCTTGTCTTTTCAAATTTTATATTTTGAGCACTGAGTGCTTGTGATTGAAGAAACATTTCTTAAACAAGTGAGATGATATATAGAACTAAAAACAATGCTTGATTTAGTAGACTAATTGCCAAACGCCCAAATCGGTTGAAACTTCATAGTTGAAACAATTTTGTTTCTACAATCATAACAAAGACAACAATCTAATCAAAACTCTAAACAATTAACAGTAAACAACTAAAACAACAATCTAATGTTGTTATCGTAGTCTTCACCCGTCTATGTATCTCTATTTCTGATAGATAACAACTAAAAGGATTACACATATAAACACCAAACAATAAAAAAAAAACATAAACCTAACCAAAAATCTAAACAGTAAACAAATAAACATTAGTCATTAAAATTTAGAAATAAGTTGCATAAGACTAAGAGAGACAAAGAGAGGACTGAAGAGAGGGCACTGAGAACAAGATTCAAGAGAGAGTGAGAGTCTGAGAGACTTTCATGAGCAATGAGCTAGAGCTCAAGTTTGAGAGGGCGAGAGTCGAGAGTCCAGTTCAAGAAGGCAGATTTCAATCGTGAACAGACAAATTGGTGAAGAAAGGTGAGGCCTAGAAGTAGGGCATCGAATAAAACAAATGGTAACATTTTTTGCCCTAAAACTGAGCCTACCCAAAGACAAATGGCCCTTAGCAAGTGATGCCCTTGGATTATGTGTCGCCTTGGGCCGTCACCCACATGGCCTTTGGCCAGGGTCGGGCCTGTTCATCAGGATTATGGATGTGTTATTCATCATGAATAACACTTTCATGTTCATCATCAATGTGTTATTTATGATGGATGTCCATCGTGAAAAGTGGCACGCTACGCCTTGTGGATGGTTCTTGGGATCCAAATCAATTTTGGGTTACTAACTTAATTTCCCACAAAAAATATAATATCGTATAGGTTTGTTTTTTAATAGAAATTGAAATTTAATAGTAAAAAGACCAATCTACCCCTAATATAACAAACTCATTAATCAAAGTTAGTGTGAGGGACGCAGGGTGTGTAAAATGTAAACCACATGGACATTTTCCACAATTATATTATTTTAGGGGGACACAGTGCAATTCTGAGTAAACCACAAAACCAAACATGTAGTTCACTCATGGTTCTATTAAGAGATATTCTCTGATTCACTTAGAGAGAAATCATGTTTAGCAAAAAAAATTGTACAGCTCCGAATAATTCCAATCCCATCTGAATTGTTCCCTTGCCAACCCATAGACATACCATTCAAAGATGTTCTTTATCCATTATTACCCTCCTCTCCCTCTCATTCGTTCTATTTCCAATAGTTCTCCCATTATTTTATTACAGTTTTCATCCAGACTGTCATGGCAAGTAGCGACAGTAGGTTTCGTTTACAGTCTTGAGGTAAATATCCACCAGCTACAAAAGGATACTTAGATGGCAAGATTCGAATCCGAGTTAATTTTATCATCTTCGTTTCTTTTACCCATCACGCTACCACTCATTGTGGTTAGTTATTTACTCTTTACTGCTTGATCTTTCTTTTTTTTCCAAATGATTAAGAAATAGCATGTTGCTTCAAATTATTCAACACAAATAGTAGGTCTTCGTTCTTCTCTACAATGGTGTTGATGTACAAACAAAACAACACAAAAGATTAAAATGGTAACTTTACATCATTCAAATTGTTAATTCAAAACGCTTACTAAACAATCATTTTTCATTTAACCTTAAATTATAACAAAACTGTTAATCATTATGCATCAAATCGTTCAACAACAGCAGCACAACAATAGTAGTCTAAAATTCCTAAAATCTTATGTTAGAAGAAGTTTTACAGATCGAGTTTGAGAACAAAAAGTAGTCTAAAATTTCTAAAATCTTATTTTATTGGTTGCGAATCGATAAATACCCCTAATCGACACCATGAATTTATATAGAAAATAAAACTGAAACTCCATCCACAACAAACATGGTAAAATGTCTGCATAATTGCCTGCTATTCCTTTGGACCTTGGAGAGTGAGGGGTACTCAAATTCAAGACTACAGTATCAGCATCATGCAACATGTGATATACATCTAAACACAAAAACAACTCCAAATTAAACTGCTTAGAGATCCAAAAACCCACATCTAAGAAATACCATCTCACTGGTTTGTTTCCGCAGCCTTGCTTTCAGGTTCCACTTTCTCTTCAGTCTTGGTCATGG